GCATTGGGGTAAATTGTAGTCAATGTCATGAGACAATGTGTATGTGAACTGCTGTATGGAAAGTGAATTTGCTCTGTAAACTTTCATCCAAGTCACAATTAAAAAAAAAAAAAAACCAAAGACCTATTAACAAAATAATTCTAACATGTATACATTTTAATGCTTAAATTAAATCCCATTTGAGTGGATTTAAGTGTTACTCTTATCTATTTACTTGTTTTGCTTCCCACTACTTACAAAGCAATTGAAAATTAAAAACAAAATGAATTTAAATTATAGCTACTAGTTTTAATCAAACAATTCAAGTGATATGTAATATACTGAACCAAATTTTCAAAATTATATATAGATATAGCTCTGGCGGCATAGTGCCTAAGGCACTTGACTGCTAACAGAAGGCTGGCGGTTCAAACCCACCAGCTACTCAGAGGAAGGTTGGGCTATCTACTTCTGTAGTGATACCACCTCAGAAACCCAAGGAGGGGTCACTATGAGTCAGATCCAACTTGACGGCAGTGAGTTTGGTTTTTTTGGTAGCATGATAGTTTGCATATTTTAAGAATTTTTTTCTTTTGTATTTTTAAGTACTATATAGCCATATTCTGAGCAGCCCTGGTGGTGCAGTGGTTAAGTGCTCAACTGCTAACCAAAAATTTAGCAGTTCAAACCCATCAGCCACTCCATGAGAGAAAGATGAGGTAGTGTGCTTCTGTAAAGATGTACAGCTTTGGAAACCCTATGGGCAGTTCTACTCTGTCCTATAGGACACTATGAGTAGGAATGGGTGTGGTTTTTGGTTTTATAACCATATTTCATTTAATTATGTTTTAAGTATTTACTATCAAATACAAAATGAAATATTTAATTGATTTTAAGAATTTGTTGACCTTAACATTTGGAAAAAAACAAACATGGTATCTATATATGGTACATTTGGCATTTATTGTAACACAACCTTCTAAATAAATTTATTTCAATAATGTCTCATCAAATTTTTTTACTACTATTGTACTGAATTCTTTGATTTATGGCACACAAAAAATATACGTATCAACACAATGTGTATTACTTTACCTTATATTTAAAAGAACATTACAAAGTACTTAACCACTATTCTCTACAGTATATGTTAACTCCACATTATTATACTCTGAATTATTTAAACATGTCTGTTTAAAGTTTGACATCACTCTGAAAAAAGGCACATGGAAAATGATTCACATTTTAACCATTTTCACATAAGTCAAAATGGAACAGGGTAAAGAGAATCTTTCAAAAATGAAATAACACGAAGCTGATGTCTCATTACAAAAAAGAAAAGTACTTAATTTGAATATTGTAAGAAATCTGCTGGCATGTAAGAAATGAAAGGGCTTTATTAACTTTTCTTGGGATGCCACTCTGACTTAGTGTAGAATACCACCAAGTTGCAATAAGAACAATGTATCCATTTCAGTTCACAGGTATATAGGAAGACAGAAAGGTAGCAAAAATAGCCTATGTACTATCTAAATGACCAATATACTAGATGAAATAATCTTTTGGCCCAGTATACTTTTCAAATTTATTGTATTTCTAGAGAATCAGGTCTACGTTTTAAAAAATAAAACGATGTTTTTTCAGCATTGCATTTTAAAGCTCATGGCCCCAAAAGTCCCCCATCATATGCAAGCTGTCTGGTGGCTTCAGTGTATTCTACTACTACTAGCACAAATTTCCCTCATACATTCTCCTTAATGAAACTTGTCCTCAGCAAAAACTGCTAACATGAGCTGGCTTAAGTATTCCCCAAACTCAAGTCTCAATATTAAAAATAAAAGAAAAACAGCTTTAGCTCAGAATTTCTCTCAGATATTCTGCAGGATGATAATAAATGTTGCCTACAAAAGGGGTTTTACTGTCAAATAAGTAGTTTATACAGAAATTCTCATAAACTATACATTCATATAATGGGATATATGGGAGGAAGAATTGTACCACGGCACAGAATTACATGCTACTGTAAATTCACTAAAATTAGTATAATTCTGGTGTGTAAAAATACGGTTTTAAAAAAATTGTACACAACCCCTAAATGCTAATGAATTACGTCACCTGACACAACCAAAGAAACAACGATTTTGGGCAATACTGGAGAAAAAAATAATTGTAGCAAACTATGTTTACATTATTCTGTGAGCAGCAAAATAATTTTCAAGGCCAATTTTGTTCATACATAATTTTTTACCTTCCACACATAGTTTAGAACTTAACTACCAAAACAGATGTACTTTTTTTCAAAAAAAAAAAAAAAAACACAAAATTCTTTCCTAGAAATAGCTCAGAGAATTAATGTTCCATAGAGCACACTGTGGAAAACTGTGATTGAGCTACACAAAGTCAGCTTTCAAAATGAACATTTATTATTCATTCATAGTGGCATGCTCAGATTATAATGTGAATTATATTTCATATAGTAATGCGCTTTCAATAAATTCAAAAGTTAAATGCATCATAAAGATGCATTTAATAAAATCATATTGAAAAACATCTTCTCAAATTATAAGATTCATTAGACTCAAAGAGAAGACATAACATTAAAAAGATAAAAATGGTAAATAGATACATAATCAAGGCATTTTTATAAAAAGTTTAACTCTAACGACTTTATCTTTGTTCTATTTCTATAACCATAACCTAAACTTTGAATTTAATTTCCTCACTATAATGCCAACCTCTAAATGCTGTTATAATGCTCTTCCTAAATCATGTCTCTAATCACACCATTTTGCTAATCAAAAGTTTTCAATGGCTTCCCATTGTATATTCAGTTAAATCTGACTTTAAAAGCAGCATTTAATGTAATCCATAATCTGGTACCCTCCAATTTTCAAATTTATATCCCTCAATTCACCTTCATCCACTCTTCAATAAAATTTTTTTTTTGAGAATCTAGTATGATTCAGGCACCACTCTATGTTCCAAAATACTTTTCTCCAGTGGTTTTCAAATTTTATCTTGTACCAGAATCACTTGAGAGAGTTTGTTAAGACAGATTACTGAACCCCACCCCTAGTTTATGATTCATCAGGAAAGGGGTAAGGCCTGAGAATTTACATTTCTAGACAGTTATCAAGTGATGTTAAAGTTGCTGGTTATGATCTACACTTTGAGAACTATTTCTATATTCCAAAAGTCACAAAACTGGAAGCTCACTGGCTGAATGAGGCCCACTCTTACATTCTGTCTGTCTAGTACTTTAAAAATATGTTAATTTTAAATATTTAAGCATTAGAAAATTTCACATAAAAAATTTAGATTTCTGGTTAACACTGCATGTAAAAATGCAGGTGGAGCTAAACAGGAGCACCTCATTTAGTCAGGGGGGATGTCCTGGTCTAGGTTACCACAAGCCTTCTCCACACCGTCATCACCTGGCTGAGCACTGTGTTTTGCTTGTACACCCTAATCCATTTTTCCTCATTCTCTATGCCTTTTTTCTTAGAGCTCACTCTGACTTCACACACCTTTCTTCCATACACTGCTGGGATTCTGCTGCTGTTTGGTGCTGTGGAGCTGGGTTGTTACTCCTAACAACCCCATGTGACAGAGCAGAACTCTCCCACAGAGCAGCTGTGTTGGTTCAAACCTCAACCTTAAGAGTTATGCCACCAGAGAGCTCCTTTGCTGAAATTCTATTTACCCCTTTCTAAAGTTTAGCTTAAAATCCTTTCTCAATGTAAGCCCAGCTAAATACAAATCTTTAAATAATATACATATTAACGTTTTAACATAAAGTTGATGTGTATTTTAAGAATTACATTTTATTTCCCAAATATCTGCACTACTTACCAGAAAAAACACATAAAAGATAACAGATTGTATTATAAATTATAAACATATGTTTTTTGAAATTTTCATTCTAAGTAAAATTTTAATTTCTTCCATTCTCAGTTTTACTATGAAAGAAATCTTTTTTTAGAATAAGACATTTAAATTAAGAAATTTTTTTTTTAAGATGAAACTTACTGATCTTCCCTTAGACAAGTTTTAGATTTCTGTGAAATTAGACCATCCTGTCATTCACAGGAAAGAAATGTCCATTTCAACTATATTAATAAATATTTTTAAGTAATACAGCCAGAGTGTATCATAACTCCATTAAAACAGTATGTCTTATTTTGCTGGTCTAAAGAAGAAGAGAAGATAGGGAAAAGTGATACAATTCCCCTGATTTCATAACCTAACAATCTTTTAAAGCAATTTTAATACAATGAACGCTTTTAAGTTTTGAATCTAGAGAAAGTTTTAGAAGGTTTTGATGTCCATAGAACAGTAGGGGGAAAATTACACAGACTAGAAATGGTTAGTGCTGGTCTTGCCTCTGCCATAAATACCTTTGTTATTCCATTATAAATCATTGACTTCCCTCTGGACCTTAGTTTCATTATCTTTAAATTGTAAAGGTGAGAAAAAAAGTGGTCTCCCATCTTTAAAATTCTAGGACTAACTTCTTTCAAAGATGAAAGCATATTTAAAAAAAAAGTCATATAACCAAAAAAAAAAAAAGAAAAAAAGGTTAGCACATCTTTTTAAATTAGACTGACTGAAAAACTTTTTTTTAGCTTTCAAAGCTCTCATTAAAAATGTTGAAGAGTTAGAACTTGGAAAGAATATACATACATATGTAAATGTATGTGTATGTTATATTTTGAAGGAACCCTGATAGTGGAATGGTTAAGTGCTTGGCTGCTAACCAAAAGGTCAGAGGTTCAAACCTACCAGCTGCTCTGCAGAAAAAAGACCAGGTAATCTTCTCCCATAAAGATTACAGGCTAGGAAATCCTATGGGGGCAGTTCTACTCTGTCCTATTGAGTCGCTATCAGTAGGAATCAACTCATGGGCACACAACAATAGCATATTAGATTTTAATGAGCAGAAAAATGATCTTTTGTAAGGCCAACAATTAAACTTGTTAGAAAAAAAAATGAGGGAAAGACAATGAAATATGTAATTATGTCAACCAATAAGTAAATTCGAATATATCTCAAAGGAAATTTAGTAAGTGAAAACTCGTATCAAAAAAGTTTTTATATAACAGACAGTAACAACAATTTTCAAGAATATGCACTTTGCGTTAGGATATTCTGAATGAAAATTTGGGCAAAACTCAAAAAAAACTTTCAGTGACCATTATATTCTGGCAAATCACGCCGCAAGCGAATTGCTTTCAGCTTCTCCACTTCAATTTTTGCTCTTAGCAGCTCTTCCTCTAGCTGTTGTCTTCTTTTCAATCCATCCCTCTTCTCTTGAACATATAATCCAAAATTTTTTTGATTTTCTAAAATTATCTGATGCTCTTCTTTCAGCATTTGCAGAATCTGAGGATCATACCCTAATAGTGACCTAAAGTTTTCTCCGTTCTCATGCCGAAAAAATTCATCTCTCCTTGGAATAGAAGATGGAGACGATGTCATTCTCATATCAACAGAGGACAGTGATGGTGACAAAGATCTTTCCATAACATGTACTAATTCATGTTCTTCTCTTTGCTCTAAAGTATCATTCTGTTGAGAATTTAAAACCAGTGGAGGAGGCGGTTTAATGTCGTCTTCTTGCTTCACCTCCACTGTAATAGCAACAGGATGGTGATCCAACATTACCTGCAGTGAGCTGGTACCAGCCTGTGCTTCCTCATCCAAGTTTGCACTACAGCACACAAAAAAGTATTACAAAATGTAAATCAAATGAAGACAAAAGTATATTATAGCATAATATCATATTTAATATACAATGGGTTGTTAAGCTTCGAAGCTACAAAGAAAATTCAGAAACAAAAATCTTTAACGCTTAGAATAACAAAGTAACTAAGATTAGGATTTAAATTATATATGGGAGCTCTGGTGGTGAAGTGCCTAAGGCATTTGATTGCTAACCAGAAGGCAGGTGGTCCAAACCCACCAGCCACTCCTCGGAAGAAAGACTAGGCAATCTACTTCCATAGAGATACTGCCTCGGAAACCCAAGGAGGGATGTCGCTATGAGTTGGAATTGACTCGATGGCAGTGAGTTTGTTTTGTTTTTTTTTTAATACATATAGATCTCTATCATCCTTAACTCTACAGCTGGGCTGTTAAAAAGACAGCCCTAATATTCCAAAAGCCAATGCAGTAAATAATAATAATTAAAAAAGAACACATTTTAATGCTTACAAGGAGACACCAACCATCTTCACAACCATAAAGTTCTTAAAGGATGTAACCAAACTCCAAACCAAACTCACTGCCATTGAATCAATTCCAACTCACCGTGACACTCTTTGGGTTTCAGGCACAATAGGGAACTCTGTAGCGTCTAAGGCATTTGACTGCTAATCAGAAGGCTGGCGGTTCAAACCCACCAGCCACTCCTCGGAAGGAAGATTGGGCAATCTACTTCCATAGTGATGTCGTCGTTGTTGTTGTTATTTGCCCTCGAGTCGGCCCCGACTCATAGTGACCCCTCCTTGGGTTTCCGAAGCAGTTTGCGGAAGTAGGATTGCCCAACCCTCCTTCCGAAGATTGGCTGGTGGGTTTGAACCGCCAGCCTTCTGGTTAGCAGTCAAGTGCCTTAGGCACTATGCTACCAGAGCTCCCTCCATAGTGATACCGCCTTGGAAACCCAAGTAGGGGTCCCTAAGAGTCAGATCCAACTCGACGCAATAAGGGTTTTTTTTTTTAATATATTTACAGTATAGGAGACCTGATGGTGCAATGAATGGTTAAGTGCTCAGCTGCCAACTAGAAAGCCGATGATTCCAACCCTCAGTGGTTCTGTAGGAGAAAAGACCTGGGGATCCACTTCAATAAACATGACAGCCCAGGAAACCCTATGGGGCAGAATTACTCTATCGTATAAGTCACTGTGGATAGGAATCAACTGATGGCACACAACAACATATATAATACAGAATAAATGAGTGGTATAAATGGTTAACATGCTCAGCTGCTAACCTAAAGGCTGGAGGTTCAAGTTCACCCAGCAGCACCTCAGAGGAGAGGCCTAGTGATCTAGTTCTGAAAAATCATCCAATAAAAACTCTAAGGAACACGGTTCTGCTCTGACATTCTTGGGGTCTCCGTGAGAACTGGCTCAACTAGAACTGGTTATAGCCAGTGTATTAGAAATTTACAGCATTTAAATTTAATTTCCATAAAATATGCATTTCTATTAAAGGCAACTAGTTTTACTGTAATTTAACCTTTGAATGCAGTATGTGTTATGACATTATAACTAAATGTACCTCATGATTCTACTGTATTTTAAAAAATAATTTTTTTATGTAACATTAAGCTGTTAATTAATAATCTTGTTTCTCGAGTTGTGAGTTTTCTTTTTTTAAATTATGCTTCTGCCTAACTTAAAAGTAAGAGTTTTAGAGGGGGATGGAGATTATTGGAACGGCAACAGAAATATGTTTATCTTAACATTACTTAGAGAACATATTACAAATGATAAATAACATAGTTAATAATACATTCTACACGGATTAAAATGCTGGCGCAAGAGCAAATAGAACCTAAGGAAAAAATTAAAACTCCCTAAGTAAAATATATCACTTAGTAATGGTATTAAATTGCCAGAAATATCAGATATTTGCCAAAAAGACAAAACCTGAAATAATTCAACAAGATAAATAGATTATATTACTTCCTTCATGCTAACTGTTTTTAAATTTTTTTTTTTTTAATCATTTTATAATTTTCAAGGGAGTTCTGGTAGCGTACTGCCAAAGGCACTTGACTGCTAACCAGAAGGCTGGCGGTTCAAACCCACCAGATTGGGCAATCTACTTCAGTAGTGATACTGCCTCGGAAACCCAAGGAGGGGTCGCTATGAGTGGGTCCGACTCGACAGCACAGAACAACAACAACATAATTTTCAAAAGCAAAACAATGGAATAAAACTATAATTCAAATTAGTAAGTTCTGCTACTATTAACTTCCTTTCTAAAACTATCATGGGAAAACATTGAAATTACACATGAAAATTTTTTTTAATCTGCATAATTACTATTCCAATTTAGCATGTATAATAAAGAGTATGACTCACAGTTAAACAGACGTTATATTCTTAAGTAAATTAATAATTTGCCTTATGTCTGGAATGAGCTCTGGTAGCATAGTGCCTGAGGCACTTGACTGCTAACCAGAAGGCTGGCGGTTCAAACCCACCAGCCACTCCTCGGAAAGAAGGTTGGGCAATCTACTTCCATAGTGATACCACCTCGGAAACCCAAGAAAGGGGGTTGCTGTAAGTTGGGTCCGACTCGATGGCATATAACAACAACATGTCTGGAATATTCCATTTTCATTAAAACATTACAAGTAAGGCATAGCAAAGCTGAAGAAAATGCTTTACAGACAGTAAAAAAAAAAAAAAAATTATAAAGAAGGACTCGAAAGTTTAGGAGTCTAAACTTTTAAGGATCAAATAGGTTACAAAAACGAAGTATAATCTGATACTGGAGGTGGGGATAATAAAGATATAAATCAAGTAAGTTGTAGAAATAAACAGCCTTACAAAATAGGCATGTATTTTTAATATATTCAACAATATAAGCAGTAATATTTTCCTATTACAAAAGGAGTTTGGTGAGATTAATAGGCATATTTACATAGAAGCATAATGGAAGTTTACAGAATAACTGTTAAATTCTGAGAATTATTAAGATTCAAGATTATGTCAAACAGTTAAGTATAGTTAATACATAAGTATATTAAATGAAAGCGCTTAATATAGATAAAATGGCAATGTAGATATACTAACATAAATAACCATTTAAGTGACACTTAAAATCTAAAATTTGATGTTGCTTAAATAGTAGGTATAGAAATGAATCAATCAATCAAATTATTTTATCAGAAAAATCATGGCACCCCCAAAAGATCTCACAGTGTACTTATATCCCAACTGCCCAAAAACGTAGACATTTGTGTATTTACTACTTCTCTTCTATAATGTCACTATATTTTTAAAATATGCAAGTAACTAAACCTATTGTTTCTATGTGTAGTTTCCAATACCCTAAAGGTATATGGTTTTATATCTGTAATGCAAAAGACTTTTTTTCTTCTACTGTTCAAGGGAGAAAAATTTTTAATAAATAGCACAGAATAAAAGCTATTTTACTGTGGAGCTTTTCTTAGACATGTGGCATATTCAGATTTATTCGTCATCACAGAACATTTTAGCCAGAGGTAGCCATGCCTGGATTCCCACAGGTGATATTTTTTATTGTGTTATCAGCTAAAAATAAACAGTTAAGAAGCTAGTTCAAAAAGAGTTTCCCAGTTACCAAAATGACAGATATGTTTGGCTAACAAGTTCTGGGGTTTGTTTGTTTTTGCTTGTTTCCCTCCTAAATTCTAAGGGAGTTCATAGGTAAACAATAATTTTGCTTCCATAATGAGTGCCACCAATAGGAAACCACGTGGTAAAGCTTTGTTTGGAAGTCTTCTCAACTAACAAGAAGGCTACAATGTATGGGCTTGTAATTTATCTAAATGGTTCAGAACAAGAAGGTAGCTGCCTTTTTTATCTTTTGCCAGCAGTTATAATTTGAAATGGCAAAATAGCAGTTTTGAAGATTCACAGAATTTACATAGAGCACAAATTTAACCAAAAACATATTCCAAACTCTAAAAGAACCTAATTCCTCTTATAAGTACACTAAAAATTAATAGTTTGATATCTTTACAAAGTAGTATGAAAAAGCTTACCCTTCCTGTATGATCAAACTAAAACTAAACCATTAATGAGCACTAAAAAGAATAAAAAAACTATTTTATTAGGTAATCTGAGTTCCTAATTAGGCGTTAACTCCCTTTCTCTGTGCTTATCTTTGTTCATTTTAAGTATGTTAGTAAAAAATTTAAAGTAACTTAATGTATACAATCCTGTCATTATATTTACTTAATTGCTGATTTAAATTCTATTTTTCAGTTCAATACATGTATCCAGTAAGTGTAGACAGAGACCATTCATAAAATGGTTAAGATTATGAAAATTCCATTTCTCTTCAAACTGGTAACTTTGTATGAATTATATATAAAACTGAAAATCCTAACGAAATGTAATCTTAAATAAGAAAAAGGTATCTCTTAAAGGCTACTTAAATAACTTAAAGCTTAAAAAGTTTATGAGATGATGTCATAAATTTCATCCCATTTAATACTCTATCCTTTTCAGAAACTAGAGGAAAGGAAGGCAGAGGGGGAAAGAGTGCAAAAAGTGGCTTAAATCAAATGCAGCTGAAAAATTCCTTAAAGCTTCACTTTTCCTTTTAAAGAATGCAAAACAAAGGCACTATTCATTGCTCCCATTGTGGAGATGCTTACTATGCATATCTCTATCACAACTAAACCAAAGCCCAATAGGTGGGAGGCGCCATAATTTTCCACAACAAAATAAAATAAAGCTTACCTTTGTGTGTTGTTCCTGTCTCTTACCAGGCAAAAACTGGAAATCTGGGGAATCATCTCCATAACTTTCTTGGTTGGCTCAGAAATATTGCTTTTAAAATCTGATTGGGTCTCTTTTTGCTGCAATAGCTCCTGTTTGGCATATTCTTTGAGTCTTTTGTAAAGGGTGCGTAGGCCCTGAGCTGTTCGAGGAGGGCGGTCTACTCCAATTGCATTATAGTTAACTGCTATGATATCCCAACATCTATTCTTTTCCACTATTACTGAATGTTTATTAGTGTGTTCTTCAAGAATTTTAACATATGGCTTCACAAGCTTTAGCAAATCAAGCTTTTCAGATAAAGTAAAATTGGAAGATCTAGCCTTTCCTACCATTGTTCTTTTCAAATTAAGTAGGCAGTTTCTGAAACCACCATGCAGCTTCCAGCTCTGCTCAGCTCTTTTCACAAACAGAAAAAGATCAGGCTTAACTAGGCTAGCCTCATTTAGGCCCACGCCTACAGGGGAGGGTTTATTAAAATTCCTCCAGCTTAAGCTGACGCAGGTTCAGGAAATCTGCTTAAGCCAAGCCTGACCTACATAAAGCTTCTCACTGAAGAAGACAGGAAGGCACAAGCACAACACACTTGTATATAAAGAGAACAGCTTGAGATAGGATTTAATACACAAAGGTCTAGAGATAAGCATGGAACACAGCTAAAAATTAAGTAATTTAGGGAGAATATCGGATTTCTGCACATGTATGCCTAGCTGATAGATTGAAACTGCACTGCAGTATCACTTTAATAAAGACAAAAGAGGCACTGTTTTATGCTATTTGTTTACAAATCAAGTAATCAGAAAAATAAAAACCTAAAGATATGAGTGGTAAATGTAGATTCCTAACAGAGCCCCTAATCACCGTTTCAGAGCTGCAGTCCTCTCCCAAAATTTGCATAATGCTGGTCCTGCTGTCAATCAGGAATTGCATATCCTCCAGCTAGTTAGGTTACACCCAGACTCAGACTCCACCATGAAGCTAAGCCTCTCCATTTTACAGTCTAAATCCCTCCTGCATATATTTTTCAGTTATTTAAGAAGAAATTTTTGTTGAATACTAAATCTAAAACGCAGATGAAAATATGTTTTTAAAGCAGTGGATTATTCTAGCTGTAAGTGAATATGCTAGCCTGCTTTATCATTTGTAAAAACCACCATTCCCAGTAAGACAGCATAATCACGCCTGAAGTGTGCACCCAACAAAACTGCATTGCTATTATAAGAGTAGATTTTTATTTAGCTAGACCCACACAATTTGAACTATGAAAGGAAATAGCTAGTACAGCCACTTATAAGGGCACTAATTTGTATATTTAGAATTTATTTCTAATACCAGTTTGAAAACATATGCTAAATAACAATGTAAACAAAGTAAGTCTATTTTCTCCTGATATACATGTTTCTCTAGATAGGATAGAATTACAACATATGTGAACACAATTCCAATCAATCAAATAATTATTGGTCACTTAAAAATACTGCCAAGCACTATGCAAGACACAAGGAAAACAAAGGTGAAACTAGATATAGTCCCTACCCAGAAGGTCATGGTTCTATAGAAATGCCATAAATTCTCAATTATCCTGTTTTTCATTCTTTCAATAGAAATCAGAAAATGAGCTAGAAGCTTAAATGTGTTATCAATCACAATAAAAAGTAAAAAATGGGTAAGCATTTCCTAGAATACCACCGATGGTAAACTTTTACTGTCTTAGAGCAGCAACTCAACTGTAGTAATACAAATGTACTTAATGTACTTAAAGTCTTTCTAGTCTTTTGTGAGTTTTTTGTCAGTGTATATACTGGTGGTGAGAGAATATCTTCCACTATTTTTGGAAGAAATACAGATATTGTGTTAAGAAATTAAATGACAATTAAAAAAAAACCCTCAAACTCACTGCCGTCAACTCGATCCCAATTCATAGCGACCCCTCCTTGGGTTTCCAAGGCAGTATCACTACGGAAGTAGACTGCCCAATCTTACTTCTGAGTAGTGGCTGGTGGGTTTGAACCACCAGCCTTCTAGTTAGTGTTAGGCGGGAGCACGGCTGGCCAGGCAGGTGTATGATTAAGCCAGAGGGAATTATAAGAACTGGTCAAGCAAGGAAGCGCCTGACCAGAGCCCATACCAAACCCCAGCACATAACCCTTACTTACCAAAGATCCCGCACCTGACTCTTACTCACTAAAGCCCCCAGCCATTTCCTGCCCCCTATGCAAATAACAACAACAACAACATGTTAATGAAGCGCTTCAGCTCTGCTTCTTGCCCCCATGCTAATAGGGTGCTTTAACCTTATAGGTTCCTGTAACACATGCCCTGCTCTCAATCTGGTCTCTAGGAACAAGGAAGAAAATCACTATAAAAAAACCTATCTTTCACCTGGGTAGTGTGACTTCTCTGGTTCCTCTCGCCCGGGGGCGCAGAATAAAGCTTTCTTTGCTCTACCTTCTGTGTCCCTTCCCTTCCTTATCACTACCTTACAGTTAGCAGTCAAATGCCTCGGGTACTAGGCCACCAGAGCTCCCAAATGATAAAAAATATTAACAAGTGTTCAATCTCCTTTTATCAGGGAGATGATTTTCATCCACAAAACTGACAAATTGAAAATGTCAAGAGTGGATGAGGGTGTGGGGAAATGAAATACTACTGTTTATGGTATAAAATGGCATTTTGGATGATAGTTGGGAATTATCAGTATTTTACATATAATTTTACCTCTTTTAAAATTACAGTAATATTACATCAGAATCTTGGGAAAATACTCAAATGAACACAAAGAGCAATGACGCATTCTATGCAGTTGCCTAGTATTGGAAGCAACTTGAAAGCATATCAATTGAGGACTAGTTAAAAATCAGTAGGTTACATCCATACTATGGTCTACTCTTACAAAAAAAAAACAACAAAAACCACACCAACTGCCATCAAGGGATATCCACTTACAGTGACCCTATCAGACAAAGTGTAACTGCCTCATAGGGCTTCCAAGGCTGTAAATCCTTATGGAAGCATACTGTCTCATCTTTCTCCTGCAGAGCAGCTGGAAGGTTCAAACTGCTGATCTTTTAGCTAGCAACCCAATGCCTTAACCACAGTGCCACCAGAGCTCGTTGTGGTCTACTCTTAGAAGCATTAAAATGAAAGAGACAGAGTTCTATACTTTGACATAAAACAAGTTCCATGACACAAAGTAAATGAAAAGGGCAGGTAAAACAACAACGTTGCTATTGTTAGTTGCCTCTGAGTCAATTCCAACTGGGTGGGTGACTCGTGTGTGCAAAGCAGTATACAGTATAATCCGACTGTGCTTACAAAAAAGTACCCAAAGCTAAATATTTCTGTAGGTGCAGATGTATGTATGTAGGCAGAGAATGCAGGCAATTGAAAATGTACCCAAAAAAGTTCTGGAACTTTCCTATCCAATACAATAGTTGACAGACACATTTGGCTAATGGGAGTAAGGAATTGAAATTTAAATTTTATTGAATATTAAATAATTTAAACTTAAAACTAGAGCAGTCTACTTTTACATTAAACACAATGTTATTGTTTTGGTAGGATTACACCTTAACCCTTTTGTCACATATGTTATTACTGTTTCTAGTATTATATATAAACACATCGCCCATCCAGTCAATTTTAACAAATAGATATCAGTTTGAATGACTTTTTCTATCCATTTTGTGGTAGTTAAGTTGTGTGCCGACTTGGGTGGGCCTGGTTTTGAGCGGCTGGGCAGCTAATTGTAGCTATTCCCCATGATGAGGCTGGTAATCAACTCCATGGTGGAATCTACTGGAGCAGCTGAGTAGCTGCCTTAGGGATGTGGTCTGCTCCCAGTATATAAGGAGAAGTGTTGAGAATGGTCTCTGGAGATTTTTGGCACGCTGGGACCCTACATGTAGTCGAGGCTTCATTCAGTAGCCTGCCATGTTTCCTGCCAATCTTGGGACTGTCTTGGGACTTGAACTAGTGGCCTGCTGTGCTGTTTGGCAATCTTGGAACTGTGCCATTTTATTTGTCAACCTTGGGTTTGTCAACCTTAGCAGCCAGCAGCTGCCTTAGTGAAGAGATGCCTCCGGCTCCAGTGGGCTGGGAGCAAGAGGCAGAGCTGAAGCCCAACATCGAGTGGCCTTCACCCAGCCCCTAGAGCTGGCACTTTAAACTTAGACTTCTAGCCTCCAAAACTGTAAGAGAATAAATCACTGTTTGTTAAGGCCATCCATTTGTGGTATTTTTTTGTTAGAGTGGCACTAGAGAACCAAAACACCACTGAAATAACAATTATATAATAGATTTTAATATTTTATGCAGACAGCACATATCACAATAACATATGTAAATTATAAGTGGTTATTAATTTGAAATACTTATTGTTTTAACTATGTTATAATTAAATTATTTTTCTAGTTAAAAGAAAAAAGAACAATATGTTTTTTAATTATAAAAAGAAGTACTATTGAGATAGCCACCATTCATCTGTCAGTTTGTAGTACTGTGGTAGCTTGCATGCTGGAAGCCACGCTACCGGTATCTCAAATACAAGCAGGGTCACCCACGGTGGACAGGTTTCAGAACAGTTCCAGACTAAAACAGAGCCAGGAAGGAAGATTGGTGGTCTACCAAAAAAGCTGACAAGAGAAAACCTTATGAATAGCAGTGGAACACTGTGTGATATAGTGTCAAAGATGAGCCCCTCTGATTAGAAAGCACTCATATGCAACCTTAATGATGGGAATGGAGTAAAGCAATCAGGACTTTCATCTGCTGATGTGGCACAACTCAAAATGGGAAGAAACAGCTGCAAACATCCATTAATAATTGGAACACGGAATGTATGAATTAAGAAAATTGGAAGTTTTCCAATTAATGTTTAGCATAGTGGCTAAGGCACTTGACTACTAACCAGAAGGCAGGCGGTTCAAACCCACCAGCCACTCCTCGGAAGGAAGGTTGGGCAATCCTACTTCCGTAGTGATACTGCCTCGGAAACCCAAGGAGGGGTCG